TATATTTATGTTTGTGGTTGTAATGTGACAAAATATGGAAAAGTTCAAGGGGTATGAATACTTTTGCAAACCACTGTATCTAGATAGCAGCTAAATGAATAAAAATGCCAGCTGACAGAGGCTAAATCTAAGGTAGCAACATGACAGCTAAAAGTAGCAAAACATCAAATAAGACCTATACTGGGCAAGTCTTGCAAAAAGCTAGGTAAATGTTAAAAGTAGCAGAATGGTAGCTAAAAGCTAAATGTTGCAATCTGCTATACAACAAACTAATAGCAAATAGCTAGCTAAAAGTATTAAAAAAGTAGGTAATGGCTGAAACTAACAAAATGCTGCTGAAAGCTAAACATAACAAAAGCCATCTAAAAGCTAAAATACAAAAATATAGCACACATGCTGGAACAATTTTCAAGGAGGACATTAAGAAAAAGCAATATTTGTATATTTTAAAGAAAATATCYATCCCTCCATCCTTTTCTGCTTCATCATGTCAGGCTGTGGGGGGCAGCAGCCAAAGCAGGGAGGCCCAGACCTCTTTCTCCTCTGGGAGGATTCCACTACACATTCTCACTCCCAGTTCGATTCCAAAGCATTCCCAGGCCAGATGAGGGACATATTCCCGTGTTTCCCAGGTCTTCCTCCAGTCCTATCTGAATCTTCACTCTTCTTCTGAATGAGCAGAAGGCTTTAAAATGTAAATGTCTAAAATAGCTCAAAGTCTGCAAACGAAGCAAGAAAAATAAATAAATAAAAACAAACAAAAAAGGCAGCAGAATTTATATAAGTCATAAAAGTGGTGACATGAGCTCCTTCAAAATCTATGACAGTTTCATAATTACAGCGGGTAAAATAAGTATTGAACAAGTCACCATTTTTCTAGTAAATATATTACTAGAGGTGCTAATGACATGAAATTTTCACCAGATGTTGGTAACAACCCAAGTGATTCATACATGCAAAGAAATCAAACCATAAATGTCCAGAAATGAAGTTATTTGTAATAATGTGGAATGGCACAGGAAAAAGTATTGAACACACTTACTGAAATTTATCTAATACTTTGTACAAAAGNCAGTAAGAAGAAATAATAAATATACTTTATTACTAGCTGAAGTCATCATTTTTCAACTAGCTAAAGTCTAAGTTACAGGCTGATTTCAGGTCTGGTTTAGATCATTGTTACTTTTAAATTATATATTTTTCTGGTATAAATCTGTTTTATGTGATTGTTGAATGAGATTAACATAGTTATTAATTTATTGTAAAAACATGACCAATAATCTGTRAAACAGATCWGGTTCAGYTTGCTGTTTATCTGTTTGTTTCTATGGAGGCTGTGAGCTGTTGCCCTGTTTGGACGCCATTTCTGCTCCTCCATGCTGTCACAGACGCTACCAGTGGACGGAATGGGCGGGGCTCACTCTAGTGATCTTATTCAAGTCTATGTTGTCTCTGGCCAATCAGTAGCCTGCAATCTGCCAACATCAAATCTTCAGTTGGACTTGGCTCTCTTGGAACCTCGGCCGAGTAGGTTCCAAGAACCAGGCTGAACCTGGTGGGATCACCCAGTGGAGGGACTCTGAACCTGTGTTGAGTCAATCCGAGCCCATGGGAAAAAAAGGAAACACAAACACAGACAAACAAATCCACATGGACTTGGGTGGAGGGGGATAATAATAGATGCGGTTGGTATTTCAGTCTGAAAACAGTTTGAACACGCAGAGACAGACAMACGTGCCGAACGAACATTTCACAACAACAGCGTTCCTCCTGCATTTGAATCTTTTACGTCTCTCTACTGTAAGAGTCTGGACTTGTTGGTATTTTTCACTTCTTACCTGGTCTAGACATTTTTTTTCTTCAGTTTTTGATATGTAAATATTTTTGTTTGTGTGTAATGTTGAATTTAAAACAACATGTTCTTTTAAACTTGAGCTGCTTGATAATAATAATAATGTTTACACTGAATGTGACAATTGTTAAGATCAGGACGGCTGCTGGAGAAAAGATAAGAAAACAGATTTCTTGGAGGAGTAAGGTTGTTTTTACTGAGTCTCTAAACCTGCARTGCGTTATTTTCTTTCCAAACAGACAAAGGTGGACGAATCATTGGTTTGGAGTCTTCATGTCAAAACAAACACTTATCTTGTTTAACTGCAGATTTATCAGAGTGTGACAATTTAAATTGTCATTGTTTTGAAAAACTCAAGGTGACTCCTTGTTTTTGAAACTCTGCACTCTTTCCTGAGATGAAAAAAAAAAACATGTGGTTGTCCTCTTGGATAAGCATCAAGGCTACAAAGATTCATAACAACATCTGTGGAAAAGGGTAAAMTATAAACACCCGTTCTCGTGTTTTAAGTTATCTACATTTTTTTTTTATCTTGAGTGAAATATTATGAATGCCTGTTCTCCAAGCAATACAAAACCTCTATTATTCATAATCATTCGGCTAATTCCACACCGTTTCAGCTCAGTATCTGTAAAATTAACTGAYGTCAGAGTCATTTTTGTGTTGGCTGATGTTAATTAACAGTGGCAGCCATGTTGAAATGGATGGGCTCCAAAACTGATCAGCTGCAGATGTTCATCTAATAATTACTTTCTGAGAGTTTCACTGAAATCCACTCAGCAGTTCATGAGATATTTTGCTAACAGACAGACAGGCGTTATTGCTTAAGTTTTAAGTAAAGATGTCATACGGTAAGCGGTAATTAAAGTACGCTTTGGGGATGGCTCTTGGCTCCACATAATTTTGCACTAAACACTAAATGTTAGCAAAATTATAGCCTTTTTTCCTTAGGTCATTTAGCTGTGGTGTTTGAATCAGATTGGCTATTAATATATTCTCTGGAAAATTTCATTATAATCTATTTTTTGGCTCATGAAATATTTTACTAACAGACACGCACCAATAATGCAC